ATCACCATAATACAACATTTGTTACTATTTCATCTACCGTTAATCGAAATTAGGGAACATATAATTGCTCATTGAAGAAAGATCGAACAATAATAGGCGACATTATCTTATTTAAATTATTAGTTTTTATTCTTAGGTTATCTATGAATTCATTATTCGCCACCGTATTTAACAGCACTAAATTTGCGCTAATTAACTATTTTTTAAGCAATTCACACCCAGCAAGGCAGGAATGCCTCTAGTACGCAATGGGCTACAAAAAGTGTAAGTAAGGGAAAAAGCTGCGTATAGGGGGCTCGAGGAAGAAGAACGGAGAATAAGAACGGAGATCAAGGCAATAGAAGATGTCGATTGACATTACATTTAAATTAAGGGCGTTCTACTCTCGGGAAGTGCGAGAGAAGAAGCTGTTGGAGTAGAAAAAGCGATTACATTTAACTGCTTCGACAGTAAAAGGGTACGACTGGGATGCCAAACTAGTATGACGTTTAAATTCATGCAGTAGGGGCAGCAGTGAAAATAGCTCGTCAGAGCAGATGCTATGAAAATATTTATAGAAAAGACAGAGGGAAGCCACATTAAGTCGGGGAGAAAGTGACTGGATCCAAGACCCCCAAGACAGGACCAATCACATTGCACATCCGTCTTTGGATTTTGTCGGAACCTGGAGATGAACAACATAGGCACCAGATCATATATGACAACATTATTCCATGCATGGACAAATGGTAGATATGTAGATGTAAAGGAAGGAAGGACTCAAACGAGAAAAATCTTCTGGCGTCACACAGAGAACCAACTTTCCTTGCAGTAGATGCAGCAATTGATTCAATGTCGTTGTTCCACTTCAGGTCAGTGGAGAACGTGAGACCAAAACGGCACAGTGAAGCGTTCTCGTTGAGTATCAGCCATGCTGATAGGAGGCGGGAATGTTTTCCTAAGGTGAATAAATGACAGCAGTCTCGTTTTGGACGCATTAAAATTCACAAGCCATTTCCTGCCCCAGTCAACCACAGATTTCGAGACCAACGGCCAGGTTAACGTTGTCAGCTATTCCGGATTTACTATTGAGACAGGAGTAAATGGTAATGTCGTCTGCGTAGATGCCGACTACAGAACAGGTGACGTCAGGAAGATCATTGATGAAGATCGGAAACAGTAGAGGATCAAGGATAGAGCCTTGAGGAACACCAGCGTTCGTATGGAAGGAACTGGAAGAGAACCTGTTCAGGACAACCTTCATTTCACGGTTAGACAGGAATGATTGGATTAAATCAAATAATCGTCCTGTAATACCGTATCCCTGAAGCTTACGTAGAAGGCAGGGATGCCAAAACCTGTCAAACGCATTCGATATATCTAGAGCAACAGGAACGAACTTCACTGTTATTATCAAGAGCTTGGTATACATAGTCAGTGATGGCCGTAAGCACATCAGCGGTAGACCGGGCAAAGCGGAAGCCATATTGCTTGTCATAGAGCAGATCGTGGGAGAAGAGATGCTTAACTACTTCAGTATTGATTAAAGCCTCGAAAACTTTACCGAAGTGTGGTAGGGGACGGATGGGACGCTATTTAGATGCGATAGAAGGGTTCTCCAGGGTTCTTAAAGACCGGGACGACAGAGATGCTTAGGATTAGGTTTCTGGTTCCTTATAAACTATTTTTCATTTTCGTGAATGGATTAACAAAAAACACCGTCCGGCAAATTCAGGATGGTTTGCTTTTGATATCCATTCTGGATTATTTAAATATTTTCTTAAATAAATTTTCCAAGCAGTTTAAACAGATTTTTGTGTCCTTCTTTATGAAACTGTCCTTGTATACATTGCGTTAAATCGCCCTTTTTGCTAATAGTTTTAAGACTGGGAAAACCGGGGTGGATCGAACTCACTACAGCTACAACCGGAGTAGTTCGCCTATCATATGGTTCACGCTCATCTGTGGTCTTTTGAATAGGAGTAAAGATTTAGCCCTTGTTTCAATATTTTAACAAATTAATTTCTCGTCTTTTTAATCAATCAGATCACCATTATAGAACTCTTGTTACTACTACCGTTAATCGAAATTAGGTGGAATATAATTGCTCATGGAAGGCGGATCTAACATTAATAATAGGCGATATTAGCGTATTTCATTTATTAAATTTTATTCTTAGGCTTTCTGTGAATTCATTATTCGCCACCGTATTTAGCAGCATTAAATTAATACTAATTAACTAATTAAATTAGGATTGGGTTTCTGGTATCTTCTCAAGTCTTTTCATTCTCTTTCACTCCCTTACTTATTGCATCTTAGTGGCATTACCGCCTTGCTTGGTGTGAATTGATTTAAAAAAGCACTGCCTGGCAAATTCAGGATGGTTTGCTTTACATATACGTTCTTGTTTATTTACCGTATTTGACAGCATATAAGACGCACGGGTGTATAAGACGCACCCCAATTTCAGCAGGGCAAATCGAGGAAAAATTAGTGATTAGTAAAATTATGAATAAATGATACAGCCTAGGCTATATTTATGAGATACCATTTTAGTAAAACAAGGCATGATTACAATTAAACGAACAATAATAGGAAAAAAAGAACGCGAGCCCATAAAACCTTTATTATATCCAAAGGTAAGAAAACAAAATAAAAATAAAGCAATTATTACAATTAAGCAAAACAATACAGTTACCATTAAAATTCAGTCAAAAATTCTCCTTTATATGATCTTTACAACCTGCGTCTTGTAAACGTCTTATTTGAATAATTAGGATATAAAAATTCTGATTGTATTTATACCAATGAAACCGGAAGTTATCACAAGAAAAATAATAATGAAACAAATATATTTTACAAATATATAATTTGAATTTATTGTATATGATGTTAGTGAAACAAAGTACTAATATTAAACGTGATGAAATTAATATAATGAATATTATCTATGATAACAATTTTAACTGCGCAATAGCCTTTTAAATAATGACAATAGGTATATGAAAGTTACTCTAAAGTCTAAGCTAATAGGAGTTGCCAGGGAGCTAATTTTGGCCGACTATCGTATGGCATATAAAATGCAGGGGAATTTTAAAAGATATTTTTAGTAAAAAAAAATGTGTCTTATACGCCATCAGATACGGTAAATATTTGCTTAAATAAGTTTTCCAAACAGTTTAAACAGATTTTTGTGTCGTTCTTTATGAAACTTTCCTTGCATGTATTTCGTTAAATCATCCTTTTTGCTAATAGTTTTAACTGGGCAAATCAGTGTGGACTGAACCCATTACAGCCGCAACATTAAGCGAGACTTACTAATTCCTATGCCGCAATGAAGCACATCTTTTACGGGCATATCTTTGTCTGATATTTGGGATAATAATGTCTTCCTTTAGCAGTAAATGTCTGTCGGACTAACGTACTGATCAGTGTAATATGGCGAGGAGCGATTGTCGTCATCATCATTATTATCATCATCATCATCATCATCATCATCATCATCATTATTATTATTATGTTGTTGTTATTATTATTATTAGTATTATTATTATTATTATTATTATTATTATTGTACATTTATTTATTTTGAGCTGTTATTTAATCAAGTGTTTCACCTGGGATTGAAATTAAATTTCTTTTTTTTTTTCCTTGCTTTGCGTCAGATGAGCGAAATTTAGCCAATATCAAATCAATGAGGGTCACGATGAAAATAGTAAACTTCTACAGGGTGCGGCATAAATACATCCCACACTTTAATTTTAAAATATATCAAATGTGGGAGGTATTTCTGCCACATCTGGTATTTTATTCTGTTTGAACCCGAAGTCAGAGATAACCGTTTGGGATATGACAGTAAAACTTGAAAGTTCCTACATTTTTTTTTTTTTGTTACAGATAGTTGTTGAGTGGTAGTCTAGCAAAATGATACCTGAGATGAAGGTATAAACATTATGCATGTATAATTGAATTACTCGTGAATTTAAACGCAGTACTAGATTGGCAGCTAGGTCTCATTATTTCACTGTTGAATGCTTTTTACTAATAGTTCTTTCTCCCGCACTTCTCTCGTGTGGAACTCTCTCCCAGCTTCTTGCTTTCCTGTTAAATACGATTTTAAATAATTTAAGTGAAATTTCAATCGTCTTTTTCAGTCTTTTTGAAAACTTATTTTTTAATTATCCCCTCTATTTCCGTCCCAATTAAGACCCCTTACATGTTAGAGGTTTTATTGCCTTGCTTGGGGTGAAATGATTCTTTAAAAAAGTGTTTACGGAAACCAAACAGTGAACATGAACAAAGTTAAACAGTGAGTTTTTTTTTTATGTCCCGTGTCCCTTCAGGACGTAACCAGTCATAGCCCCCGCACATTTTCCTGTCCCTTGTAGCTCTTAATAATTTTTGTCTTTTCGTTATTTCTCCCATACCCTATTCTAACATCCATTTACAGAAGCCCATGCAATATGTTACACGCTGCTTCCTTCTGTCACTCTTTCCCTCACTCTGTCTTGTGAGTATCAGATTTTCCAAACCCTCATTCCTCACTACTTTCAACTTCACTTTCCTGATGTTAAGAATCAGTTTCTTTTTGTTTCCATTTTCTCTAAAACTTCGTCGTTGCTCATATGTTCGCTCCATGGTATCCTCAGCATCCTTCTGTAGAACAACATTCCTGTTTGCTTCAAGTCTCTTCCTCATCTTTGAGGAGATTGCCTAGCATTCACTTCCATATAGGCGGACTGATATCACGTAACAGTTCAGTACTGTTTTCTTTTTTTCTAAGGAATATTTTTCTGTTTCTTATTACTCTGCTTGACTTTTGGAAGGCATCTTTCACTATTCCAGTGCGCCTTCAGATTTCAGTGTCCCGCTTTCGGTCCGCTGTTAAAATACTTGCCAGATATTTAAATTTTTCTACTTCTTTGATAAAGTTACAAAGTAAAAAAAGAAAAAAAAAGCAAGGAGAGATAAAAAAAAAAAAGTTACAAAATATAGAAGCGCAGTAAAGAAAAAAAAAAGAATTAAAGGAAAAGAGGGGAAAAGGAAAAAGGAAAGATCGAAAAGAAAAGACACATGAAAAGGAAGGAAGGAAGGAAGGAAGGAAGGAAGGAAGGAAGGAAGGAAGGAAGGAAAAGAAAAGAAAATAAGAGAAAGACAAAAAAAGAAGAGAAGAAAAGAACAAAGAAAGAGAAAAAAGAACGGAAGAAAAGAAGAAGAGGAGAAAAAAGAAAGAATGTAAAAAGAAAAAAGAGAAAGACAAAAAGAAAAGGAAAGAGAAACAGACTTTGAAAAGGAAAAGAGGGTAAAATGAAAAATGAAAGATCGAAAAGAAAAGACACATAAAAAAAGGAAAAAGAAGAGAGAAGGAAGGAAGGAAGGAAGGAATGAAGGAAAAGAAAATAAGAGAAAGACAAAAAAGAAGAGAAGGAAAGAAAAGAGGAGAAAAGGAGAAAAAAGAACGGAAGTAAAGAAAAAGAGAAGAAAAAGAAAGGCAGTAAAAGACTGTAAAAAGAAAAAGAGAAAGACAAAAAGAAAAGGAAAGAAGTAAAGGAAAAGAGGGAAAAGGAAAAAGGAAAGATCGAAAAGAAAAGACACATGAAAAGGAGGGAAAAAGGGAAAGAGAAGGAAGGAAGGAAGGAAGGAAGGAAGGAAGGAAGGAAGGAAAAGAAAATAAGAGAAAGGCAAAAAAAGAAGAGAAGGAAAGAAAAGAACAGAGAAAGAGAAAAAAGAGGAAAAGAAAAGAAAAAGAAGAGAAAAAAGTAAGACAGTAGAAGATTGTAAAAAGGAAAACGACAAAGACAAAAAGAAAAGGAAAGAGAAACGGACTTTGAAAAGGAAAGAAGTAAAGGAAAAGAGAGTAAAAGGAAAATTCTCTTCTTCAGAAACTGCCAGAAAGAAAGATTTTTACTTTTCCAATTTCTTATCCTTTTCATTTCTCCTTTTTTTTCCTTTTCTTTTTTCTTTCTTCTAACTTTTTTCATTTTTCTTTTCTCTGTATTCTACTTCTTTCCTGTTTATTTTTCATTCTTCAGTTGCTCACCTTTTTTCTTCTCACTCTTCTCTGTCTCCTTTTCTTTTTTCCTTTTCTTTCTTCAGTTTCATCTTACCATTCTTACTTTTCCCATTCTCTTTCTCCCTATCTCCTTTTCGTTTTTTCTTATTTGCTTCTTGCTCACTTCTCTTTCTCCTTTTCTTTTTTCCATTCTTCAGGTTCTTCTCACTCTTTTCTCCTTAATCTCTTTCTCATCTTCTCCCCGACACGGTTCATTTTCTTTCTTAACTTTATTCTCACCCTTATTTTCCTCTCTTCTCTTTCTCTTTTTGTTGTTGTTGTTGTTGTTGTTGTTTTTCTTCTTCTTCTTCTTCTTCTGTTTCCTTTTCTTTCTTCAATTTCTTCTTGCCCTTTTTAACTTCTTCTTTTTCTTTTTCTTTATTTTTGCATTCCCTTTAACTTATCCATCTCTTCTTTCTCCTTCTCCTTCTTCTCCTCCTGCTCCGTCTTCTCTTTCCTTTTCTTTCTTCAATGTGTTCCTACCCTTTTTAACTTATCCATCTTCTTCTGCTTCTTCTTCTTCTTCTTCTTCTTCTCTTTCCTTTTCTTTCTTGGCTTTCTTCCCATCCTTTTTCACTTATCCCACTTCTTTCTCTTTCTTTCTTTCTTTCTTTTGTTCTTTCTTTCTTTCTGTCTTTCTTTCATCATCATCATCATCATCATCATTTCTTTCCTTTTCTTTCTCCTTCTTCTTCTTCTTCTTCTTGGCTTTCTTCCCACCCTTTTTAAGTTATCCCTCTTCTCTTTCTTCTTCTTCTTCTTCATCATCATCATCATCATCATCATCTCTTTCCTTTTCTTTCTTCAGTTTCTTCCTACCGTTTTAACTTCTTCTTCTCCTCCTTCTTCTTCTTCTTCTTCTTCTTCTTTTTCTTCTTCTTCTTCTTCTTCTTCTTCTTCTTGGCTTTCTTCCCACCCTTTTTAACTTATCCCTCTTCTCTTTCTTCTTCTTCTTCTTCTTCTTCTTCTTCATCATCATCATCATCGTCTCTTTCTTATTCTTTCTTCAATTTCTTCCTACCGTTTCAACTTCTTCTTCTTTCTTTTCTTCTTCTTCTTCTTCTTCTCCTTCTTCTTCTTCTTCTTCTTCTTCTTCTTCTTCTTTCTTGGCTTTCTTCCCACCCTTTTTAACTGATCCTTCTTCATCATCATCATCATCATCTTCATCATCATCATCTCTTTCCTTTTCTTTCTTCAATTTCTTCCTGCCGTTTTAACTTCTTCTTCTTCTTCTTCTTCTTCTTTCTTCAACTTCTTCCTACCGTTTCAACTTCTTCTTCTTCTTCTTCATCATCATCATCATCATCATCTTCTCTTTCCTTTCTTTCTTCAATTTCTTCCTACCATTTAACTTCTTCTTCTTCTTCTTCTAATCATCTCTATTAACTAGATTAAATATATTCTCTTCATTATTAATAAAACACTTCCTCTTCCAGTTTTAATCATTATCATTTGCAGATTCTCTACTCTTATCATTATTAGCATGATAAAGTCTTTTTTTTATCCTAGTTTCATTATTGTTATCTCTGCAATCCATGGTTTCATTTTCTTAGTTTTCTTGCCATTCAACTTGCTGTTCATAAGCCTGTTGTTGTTGGCGTTCGGAAGAAATGTGCCGTCCAGGCGAAATTGTTTAATTAACCTCATTAAAATCGAATTAAATTCTGATTAGGAAGCCGTAGCTAATTATCAACGCGATATTTTTTGTCCTCTTTGAAGTTAATTGAAGTAATTATTCAGAAATTTTAATGATTTCCTTGACTAATTAGAAAAGAGTTTCAGATTTCTCATTCGTCTTCACTTGATATTGAAATATGAACAGACAGCAAAAAAAATAAAAATTAAAAACGTGGGGAGACAACCTCAAGAATTCGTGTCGACAGATCATTTTGTTCATTACGCTTCAACGGCCACAATTTTCGCAATCGTAACTCACCTGTTGGCCGTGACATGATAACGTTGCACCGGTTGTCGCCTGAAAGGGCAATTCACTGCAAGGACGTGTGTTTGCTCCTCGGCAGAAAACGAACCACACGATCCGAAAATAAAGATGACCTCAAAATGGAAAGTGAAATTGAAAACTATTGGCATTTTTGATGCCTACTAGTAAAGGATTCTTTTCCATTTGTATTCGAGAGTAATTGACGTGTTAGTCTTTGTTTAAAGAAAATCATTAGTCATTCTTAATAGAAAATAACATGTTGAAACTTCCGTAAATTCATTCATTTATTTTATTCCGTTAGCTCATTTTGCGCCGACGCTGTAGTCGCCACTCCCCTCCATCTAACAATTGTGGTTCATGACGACATTCAAGGCAAAATGGTTCAGTGGCATGCCGCTTCCTTTTGCACCGGGGATTTTGCGCTTACACTGTCCCTCCTCTGAGGGGTGGATTTCTATTTCAAGTTACCTTCTTCTAGCCTTTACCCAAAGAGGTAGAACTAAAAGACAGCAGGTGATTTTGATTTCAGCGTTTCCTCTTCCTAGACTGGTTGCCACCCATCTCTATAAGACCCGGTATGTCCTACTTTTTAACCCATAGTTGGGGATTCCGTTATTATCCGCATAATCCGCAGTTTAAGGCTGAAGGAAACCCGTGAAATAGAATCTTTGCCACAGAAAGGAAGTTCAAAGTCATTTCCGTAGATTTGTAGGGGATGACTTATATTCTACTCTACATCCCTTTCCACGCAGACGGGATCACTTATTTTCAGCCCTACAACCTCTTTCCACGCAGACGGAATGACTTATTTTCAACCCTACAATGATGCTAATCTGCTGGCGAGTGACTCATTCCGCCTTATTAAATTAACTCATCTTTGTTGTATATTTATCACATCGTTTCGGCCGTTGTACGCTCCGACCTTCTTCAGTTGGTTGGAATGTAGAACTGAACCCTTTATTTCGCTCGCTGGGTTAGACTGTTCTAGTTCCATGTGCCATTTCTAATGGATGTCAGTTATCAGTTATTTCCTGTTAATTCACCTCTCCAAATTCTCCACTGCCTTAACCAGGTATTGAACTCACACTGGATCTAACCAATGCCTTTATCCACTGTGCCATGTCTCCTTAAGGACACATGTCACAGTGTAAATAATGTAAATAGTGTACATAATAACTCATCTCAGAAATATAGACAGATATATTGAATCCATTGCTAGGTCAGCCGCTAAGAAAGTCGGTTCACTGTGTTGTACTAGACAGTTTCTCTCTCCAGAATTTATCTTACATATTTATAATTCTACTATTCGTCCACACTTTGAATATTGCTACCACATATGGCCTGCTGCACTTGTTCTATATTTAGAAACTCTTGATAAAATCCAAAGAATTTACAAAGTTGCCAGAAGAGCCCATCATTTTACATTTTATGGCTAGATGTAACCGTAAATTCTATGCTAAGAGTTTCTTTTTCCAAACTTTCTCGCTTGTGGAACTCTCTTCCAGCTTCTTGCTTTCTGGGCAACTTTGATCTTCAAAAATTTGAAATGCAATGTCAATCGTCATTTTCTGTCTTCTTAATACCAGTTGTTTTTATTCTTCTCCCTCCTGAAAAATGGTTTTCTTTATTATATTCTTTCACACTCAGTAACCCCCCCGCATGCGTCTTAGTGGCTTTATTGCCTTGCTTGGCGTAAAATGTTTTAAAAAAAACATCAAAATTTAAGACAGGGACGAGGTCTTTCCAGCAATTTTATCATTCTCTTCATTCAATAAAACTAGTCTCGCACAAGGACACAAATATGTAGGGAAGATGTAACCCATTACATGAGTAATGGTCTGGGAGATAACCATGCTAATCATAGCTTCAAACAGTTTCAAGGTATATTTGGCTTAATCAGACGCAAATATACGGTCGTTTATTCATTTATTTATTTATTTATTAGTTATAATTAAGTCTGAAACTCACTATTGATTTGCCCTGCAAGTACGGCGTAGAATACGCCGACTGCATCTCCTGTAGGCGGGTGTGACTGTCCCTAAAACGGGCCATCTGCCAGTTGTATATTTGTAGACTACCTTTTTTTTCCCCCGAGTGCCAACTGGATCTATGTCTGACTTGTTGACAAATGCGAATCGGAATTATGCCTATAATTTTAATCTGTTGAAAGCCGAAGCTGTTTTCTTTCTTTTTTGCTTTTTTTTTTTTTTTTTTTGATCTAAGCTGAACCAGATCTATAGCTGCTTTTTTTTATACTAGCGTAGAAAAACAAAACCTCTGTTGACTCTCTGATTAAAACCGGACCTTTTTTACTTTCATATAAACCGGACCTAAGCCTCCTTCTTTTTTTTATTATTCTAGTGTATAAAGGACGTATTCCTACCTTTTGACTCAAATTTAAACCAAATATATGTCGACTATTTTTATTAAATTGCAAACGGGATCTATTTCTATCTTCTGACTCTAGTGTTAACTAAACTTACATCTACCTATGTATAGACCCGTGTAAACCGAATTGGATCAATATGTTAGACTATATTTGAATCTGGACCTATGTCTACCTTCTTAGAGTTGAATGTAAACTGGGCATTTCCACTTATCTGATCACTTGACATTGAAATTTTGAAAATAGCTTACTTTTTCCAAAACTTTCTCTATTTTATGAAAGAAGTCTGGAATCAGAAATGCAATCCCAAAAATGGGGTTTATCACGCTTTAATGTACCATGGTAACAGAAAGGTAGACCTCAAGACCTTCACACATACAACGGTATCTCAAGTGGATCGATCAAAGTGAAAGTATTAATAAACATTATATGTGCAAGGCTTTATGAAAGTGCCATATGAATGGAATCGTCCGTTTATGTAAATAAGCTGAGCTGAGCAGAGTTAGCATTAGGTCTTAGCCGCGTTGTCGAACTCTCTGCCTTCAAGCACATAGGAACATAGACAAGGCTATGCTGAAAAGCAGAGTCCCGTCTGGGTAAACAAACTGGTAGTCTCGTCTAAGATAGGCAAACCTGACTCCGTTATCACAGGGTCTACAGGGAATTTTTTTCCGGGACTATGTGCATTGAAAAACTATGGTTAAACCGGCCTTGTGCCACATCCCTCTCTGTGGGGAGTTTGGGTAAATAATGAGTTAGAATTAGGTCTTAGCCGCAGCCTAAGCTCTTAGTGATTGTCGAACACTCTTCCTTTGGCCAGAGAGGAACCCATACGAGGCTATGCCGAAGGCTAGAGTCTCGTCTAGGGTAGGTAGACATACTCGACATCGTTATTACTAGGTCTACGGGGAATTTTTGCCCGAGCCTACGTGGGGTGCTCGGATGATTACCGAGCTAGTATTAGATCAATTGCTATTTTTACCTTCATGTAGTAAACCTTCTATTTCATTACTTACCTGCGAGTTTATCCTCTTTATTAATTTTCCTCTGTTATTTTCCAAAACACGAGATACAACAACTCCTCGTGACCCAGTTTGGTTTTCTTTCTGGTAAATAAAGCAATGATGGCATATATGTCATCAAACACCATTACTTACCTCTCTAATAGGAAACAGTATATCTGCTTTGTAGTCCTCACAGTAGCATATGACGACATCAATAGAGACTTCCTCTTCTCATTCACTGGAAATCACTTTCGAATCCCTGAATGCAATGAATGCATCGATCTAACAGAGGCAAGGATCACAATACAAAAAACATTTCAAACCTCACCAAGAGTACGAAGAATCAATTTAATCTCTTCTTAGATTATCCCCTGCGCATTTACAAACATAGATGGGCAGAGCTCATTTAAGCATTCCATATCACATCCAAAGCGAATTCAACAGACTTCCTTCGTGCGGCCATGATGACGGAAGGTTATGTTATAGTCTCGATATAAACGTTTCCAAGATAGAAACTATGATCTGAAATTGGAATAAAAGCAGAGGAGACCAGTAACCCGAATCCATCATAAAAATTCAGGATGGGGAATTAGTAAATAGTAAGATTTAAGAAGGTAGGCGCGGTGGCGTAATGGATAACGTCTCGGATTGAAGAATCGGAGAACTGAGTTCGAATTCCTATCGAATCCATTACATTCACTTACTTCTCTCCACAGCTATGAGTAGGTAGCAGGTTCAGACCGGGTTCTATAGTCTTGGTTGGCAAGTGATCTTCTGCAGAAATAAATGGCAATCTACTGCAACAAAAAATCGTCAGTCATGTATCGAAAGTTACATGATCGCGTGTATTACGCATGGCACATAACTGAAGATTTCAAGGTTAGTATTATGCATGAAGTAGACTTATACACGAGTATATACGATGAGTTTTGTTCTGTCTTCTTTTTTTCCTTTTATCCTTCTCGTCTGTTTTCGTCCTTTTTTTCTTCCTTCCTTCAAATTCTCTGTTTGTACTACTAACTTTCTCTTCGGTTATAATTTTTGAATCGACTCTCTTGTTTAACACAATCTTCTCTTTTTACCATCTAACTCTTACGCTTTCTCCTTTTCATTCGATTTCGCACCTCTGGTCTTTTCTTTTCAGTTCGGTTGTTTGACGCCGGGCTGCCTCGCCACATATGCATTTTACACAATACACTTTCCTCATTTTAGTTTATCATTTCTGTCTTCTGATGAAAAACTAGCATTCTCTCTCTTTCTCTCTCTATCTGTCTATCTATTTCTCTACAAGTTTCACTCTCTCTCTCTCTCTCTCGCTTTCTATCGCTTTCTATCTCTCTATTTCTCTACACGTCTCACTCTCTCTTGCTCTCTCACACCCTCTCTCACCATCTATCTATCTATCTATCTATCTACCTATCTATCTATCTATCTATCTATCTATCTATCTATCTCAGTCTGTCCATATCTATCTATCTATCTATCTATCTATCTATCTATCTATCTATCTATCTATCTATCTGTTCATATCTATCTATCTATCTATCTATCTATCTCAATCTGTTCATTAACTCCCTTTCCATATATATATATATATATATATATATATATATATATTATGAAATGGACAAAGTCCTACAATTATTTTGCGTGTGACGAACTGTTCGTTATCTATCTATCTATTGAACTATCTCAATCTATTCATTCTTGAGCTCGCTAGCTTGCTATCACATTGTCTTCACATATATATCCTTTGTTCGAATCTAGCTAGCTATCTAGATATCTATTTAACTCTAAGCACCTCCTTTGTCTATCTTCTTCGAACCTCCTCTCTCATCTCTTTCTACCTTTCTATTGAGTTCTCCCACTTAATGCTCGCTTGCATCTCCACTGTCGTCTTGTAAGGAAATAATCGTCGTCCTCTTCCGCAGCGATTGTGTTTTCTGTAAATCAATTAATGAAAGTAATCAGATCTTGATAGGAGGCCATTGAAATGGTTTTTTTTTTTTTTGGTTTTTTTTCTTTCTGTACATTTTCGTTGTTGTTTTTGTTGTTTTTTTTTAAATTGATTTGGGGTACGATCAATGGGTGGGGTTTGCTAATACAGTCTATGGAAAGCGTCTCTTGTCAGGCACAAAGCATCACGCATGGTGTGTTTACGGACGTCAGCCAGAAACACTACAAGTCTTCTACATTTGGCTTCATGATTCCAAAATCTAGGATTTAATATTAATCGAATGATTGTCAAATACAAATCTTTAGAGATCAAACAAAAGTTAAAGGCAGAGACACTGACACAAAGAAACCGAGGGGTAAAATAAAAGATATATATAGGAAAGAGGAGAGAGAAAGTGAAAGGGAATTTACATTTGTGATAAAGAAAGTATAAAAAGAAAGAAGGAGAATATTTGGGAGTAAACGAGAGAACTGAATAGAAGGGGTGAAAGAGAGACCAGAGATAACTTCGATAAGAGAGAGAGAGAAAAATAGATAAAGGAAGTATGAAAAGAAGAAAGAGGAGGAGGCTCTGGAATACGTAAGAGTATTGAATAGATGTGATTAATGAGAAAAGATGTGGTACCAAACGAGGAGAGGAGAAAGAAAGAGAGACATTCTATCGACCACAAGATTGGGAATTAAACAATGAGGCGAGAAAGGGAAAAGGACTTTTCCTTCAGAGAGATCAAAGAAGTGTGAAAAGAGAAGACTGAGGAATAAATAAATGTACCGAATAGAAAGGGTGAATGATAAAAGAGACGGCACCAAACAAGGAGGAGAGTGGAAAGAGAGTAGTGCTATAAAAACAAGTGAGGGAGTCAAACCAGAAGTATTGAAATAAAGATAAAGATTGCATAAGAAGAAGGAAAGAGACAGAGAATGTATAAGGAAGATAATAAAATATTGAGTTAGGACAGTGCCCCCCCGCCTACAAACGGTGCTGCGCGCCTCATAAGTGCGGGGGAGGAGGATAGCAGGTGAGGCGGAATGAATGAAAGACAACAAAGATTTAGAAACAGTTTCCCAAATTCATATGCCAAAAATAAATATGATTTCAAAATTTAAAATATCATTATGGATTACTTGAAATTGCATGCATGAGTTCCAGTATAAATAGTTGTAAATAATTATGGAGTGCAGAATAAATTTCAACACGGAACTAATTTCAACTCGGAACTAATTTCAACACGGAACTAATTTCAACACGGAACTAATTTCAACTCGGAATTAATTTCATTTCGGAACTAATTTCAACTCGGAACAAATTTCAACACGGAACTAATTTCAACTCGGAACTAATTTCAACACGGAACTAATTTCAACTCGGAACTAATTTCAACTCGGAACTAATTTCAAATCGGAACTAATTTCAACACGGAACTAATTTCAAATCGGAACTAATTTCAAATCGGAACTAATTTCAACACGGAACTAATTTCAAATCGGAACTAATTTCAACACGGAACTAATTTCAATTCGGAACTAATTTCAACACGGAACTAATTTCAACTCGGAACTAATTTCAACTCGAAACTAAGGGTTAGAATTACGGCTCGGTTAGGCTTTTTAAATCGAGTTGAAATTAGTTCCGAGTTGTTATTAATTCTGTCACGCATAATTATTGACCAATTTTCTCATTCTGATATTTTTGCATTATGTCAAATATTAAGAATATAGTAACTAAGGTCCGCAAATTGGAGGAGAGAGTTATCAATGATAATGTTCTAACATCGAAACCGTGGTTATATCCTCTCACTCGGTTTGCATGTACTTTTTATCAGATAAAATTTGATAAGACGCGAGAAAATCTTCAGTCCGAATGTGCAGCTCAGGGAAAAAAAGGTGTTTGGGAACCGCTGGATTAAGACAATCAGTTCGTAGCTCTTTCGAATATGCGTCGTTTGAACACGTTATTTCGTTTCATACATGACTGAAATATATAGGGTGACCCCAAAAAACGGGAATTTTTGAAGTGCGTATTGCCAGACATGAGCAAGTGGCAACACTGCGAGACAGTGACCTTGAGCAAGTAAACATTTCGCCATTTAGAATTCAAGATGAAATTCACAGTATCCCAGCTGAGATGTTGCAGCAGTCAATGAGGAATCTCAACAGCAGATTTCAAGAATGCATTCGTACAGGAGGACGCCATCTACAGGACGTAATGTAAAAAAAAAATGAAAATTCCATCATTGTTTTTTTAAATGGCATGTTTTAAGGTTTCAATTACTATGAATATATATTTTTCTTCCATCACTCTTGGTTTTATTGGATTGTTCAAAAGTTCCCGTTTTTTGGGGTCACCCTCTGTGTGTGTGTGTGTGTGTGTGTGTGTGTGTGTGTGTGTGTGTGTGTGTGTGTGTGTGTGTGTGTGTGTGTGTGTGTGTGTGTGTATTCTGAAAGCTGATATTCCAACGATTTTTTTATACAGTTCCTGCGTGGATTGGGAATTTTTGTATGCTTTTCCGTTAGAAGTGAAAATGGTGGAAACTTAAATGGCTTTTTGGCATTTATAGTACATTTATTTTTTTTTATTTTATTTTTTTAAGCGTTTCACCCCAAGCAAGGCGAGAAGCCACTAGGACGCAAGGGGTTACAGAAAATTTAGAGCAAGATCAGATAGGAGTGATAGAAGAAAGGATGAGGAGAAGGGTAGTGGACAGATCAAGGAAACTGGAGATGTTGATTGACATTACATTTAAATAGCTGGAGATTATAGCTCTCAGGGAAACTGGAATAGGGAAGGGAGTTCCACAGGCGAGAGGTGCGAGACATGAAGCTATTGGAGTAGAAGAGACGGCTACATTTAGGAGTTTCGACAGTGAAAGGGTGAGAGCGGGATGCCAGCCTCGTAGGGCGTTTGAACTCATGAAGTCTGGGAACCAGCGAATGCAGCTCCTCGGAGCAATTGCCATGAAAGTATTTGTAGAACGGACAGAGATTTATGGAAATGAAAAAAAAAGATACAAAGAGTAAAAAACATATAGCCGTTTATAGGTCTGGTGCCACTGCTTAGAGTACCATTTGTAAGTGGTCCGCTTGATTCAGAAGTTTTATTTTATTTTCATCTCTGTAAACCGGGAACGTTCCGGTATTCGTGTAACCGTCGAAGACTGAAGGGGGCATTTCATCACCGCCGACTCAACACCGGCCAACTGATTGTAGCTTCATAACGTGATTGGCTTTGAGTCAGTGATTTTGAGAGTTTGGCTGTTTGTCTCTATGATATATAAGTTAAAATAGCTGATTTGGCTGGCTGTTGTTTAATTTTCAAACTTTTCATCACGCCGAAAATGGACCATCCTGGGTGTAACAATAAACTACATCCAACAGCAAGGCCTCTAACCAATGGGTTTTGAGGATCGTGGAGCCACCTCTTAATTGCTGGTGTGACCCGAGGTGGTAGCACCTGTTCGGGTCTCAGCTATGGGCAAATAGCTAACCTCAAACTGTGGTCAAACGCCATGAAAGTTTAAGAATAAGTTTTAATACTTGTAATATATTTTTGAAAAAGTATTACCAGCAATGAATTTTTGAAGAAAAAAATTATTACCGGCGATACATTTTTGAAAAAAGAAATATTACAAGCAATGCATTTTGGAAAAAAAAATTACCAGTAATAGATTTTTGAAAAAAGAAAATAAATATCACCCGCAATAAAAATTGATATGCGGTAAAACAAACAAAAGCCAAACCGAAAATGGAAATTCTTAGTCAAAGGAGAAAAACAAAAATCACACGAAAGCCATTTATTTGTAATTGATAAGTTTAGTAAAAGAGACAGCAACATAACATTTTGGCGTTGTGACTAAGGCACTGGGGTTTAGCACAATGAATTCATATGAAATTTGGAACAATTAATCTCCTCCCCTTGAATTGAAGACGTCTCGGACGACAAATGAAAGAATTGGGCAGGTTGTTTCTTCTTTTTACAACAATCTTCAACTGAATATTTGAGGGAAATTACATTCAATTTTCATTGAATTTTTTTAAAAACTATTTCTTAATCAATTACATATATTCATTTTTTAGAAAAATTACGTTGAAAAAAAAAAGACCCTTAATAAATTACATTTATTCGGCTTTAAAGAATCACGTCTTAAAAACCATCCCCAATTAATTACTTCTATTTGTTTTTAAAAAGTCGACGAAAAAATTTCATAGCTTGCATGTCGTTGAGTTGGTGGTGTTGAGTCGGTGGTGTTCAGTTGGCGGTGATGAGTTGGTTGTGTTGAGTCGGTGGTGATCAGTTGGCGGTGATGAGTTGGTGGTGTTGAGTCGGTGGTGATCAGTTGGCGGTGATCAGTTGGTGGTGTTGAGTCGGTGGTGATCAGTTAGCGGTGATGAGTTGGTGGTGTTCAGTTGGTGGTGTTCAGTTGGCGGTGTTCAGTTAGCGGTGATGAGTTGGTGGCGTTGAGTCGGTGGTGTTCAGTTAGCGGTGATGAGTTGGTGGCGTTGAGTCGGTGGTGATCAGTTGGCGGTGATCAGTTGGTGGTGTTGAGTCGGTGGTGATCAGTTGGCGGTGATCAGTTGGTGGTGTTGAGTCGGTGGTGATCAGTTAGCGGTGATGAGTTGGTGGTGTTGATTCGGTGGTGTTGAGTCGGTGGTGTTCAGTTAACGGTGATGAGTTGGTGGTGTTGAGTCGGTGGTGATCATTTGGCGGTGATGAGTTGGTGGCGTTGAGTCGGTGGTGTTCAGTTGGTCGTGTTCAGTTCGCGGTGATGAGTTGGTGATGTTGAGTCGGTGGTGTTCAGTTAGCGGTGATGAGTTGGTGGTGTTGAGTCGGTGGTGTTCAGTTAGCGGTGATGAGTCTTCCTGCGCCCGTTAATGATACCCCAAATCGAAACTCTTATTAAAAATCATCAAGGTCACTGGACACGGAACGTCATGAGAAACTTACCATACCTAATATGCGTGTAATAAAGTATTTGAAAACGTTTGTATACCTGAATCGTTGCGATGTTTTGGAAAAAAAAAATAAAGAATCGTATTTTCAACTTATAGTCTCTGCTCAAACGCAATTAAAAGCCATTGTTAAAAGATCGATGAAAGACGATGAAAAATGATTTATTTACGATAATTGTCAAGCAAAAAATGACCTGGTGAAAACGAAAGGCTGGTCTGCATCGGAAGATGTCTATACTGTATATCTGGTGATATAGAAACACCATTGTGTATTATGAACTCTTTCCGCAAAATCAAACATAGAATTCCGGCAGTTACGGTTCCCATGTGGAACAATTAAATGCGATAATCAACGAAAGGCCTCGGGAACTGATCAATCAGAAAGGTGCTGCTTAAATCAAGACAATGCTGGAATTCATGTCTCTTTGCAGACCAACCAGAAATTAGCAGAGCTTATCGGGCAAATTCTACTGCAATTTCAGATTACTATGTTGTGGAATATCTCCAGGATATTACGTAAACTCATCCAAATATATATAGACTAACGCCGAGAATTGTTAGTAGTATAAGAAAGAGAAGATGAGAAAAAGTAAAGAGTTAGAGATCTAGCGTTTCAGCTTACAACCGATTTCAGCAAGACTACATCGACTCCAAGCGATATTCCGTTTCATGATTACGTTACTTTCATTCAATGCAATGGACATATAACATACTAATTTCAATTGCTCCAACATTCTCATAAAAGGATTGATTAACCCATTTATTTTGTACGGCTTTCAAGAACCTCCCAGCCAAATTAGAAATTCCAGTCCCAAAATTTGAATCCCTGTCTTTTACACCGAATCATACCGGGACGCTTCCGGAATATTTCGAATATCTGTTCATGTTTTTGTAGAACATTTTCTATTATTTTGTTTTTTTACCTATTTTGTTCAGCCTTCAACTTAAAGC